TACGATCCGTCAAGTGTAAAAGTTTCTCCAAATCATTTGCTCGAAAATACGATATATGTTTCGTATGAATCATGGACACTGGAAGAAGAAGAAAAAAAATCTGTGGAAATTCTAATCAAATTACAGATACGTATGAATTTCTTCTGAATTGCGATTAGTGTTGATTGTTACGTTGCGTTAGTTGGACGACAACCAAACTATCGTAGTCAATTTAGCACTGTTTATATACAACTTTTTACGATTCCATCAAACAATGACTAGATATGGTAAAGTAAAGCAAACGACAACCTCAATTTTGACGACAACGACAACAAAAATAATACCATTATAAATGTAGAAACAAAATCATTCAACATCACTTATTCCAATAATCCAACATCCATTACATGACCAACAAAAAGAAACAGAGGCTTAAAGTTGGCAGGTGATCGACAACTAAAGCGCGCTCCTCACCGCATTAACATTATTAGTTACCTTCGAGATAATTTGGTTCAAAAATCGTTGACAAATTTCGTTCCAGAGCAACTCGTATTCCTTCGGCTTACAATAGAAGCACGCTCTCCCCCACTGCACCGCAGAAATAAGCAGTGTGGTCCTCTGAGGCCAAGTTAGCAGGAACAGTGAATATCCTCGAAGCATCATTCATCAACCGGCTTTCTTGTGGACCTCTACTTCCGGCAGCACAGACTACACGACAGGCCGTGCTCAACCGCACTGGAGGAGCGGGTAGCAACGTGATCATTAATGAAACCCTTCAAGTCCCCTCTGAGAGAGAGCGAGAGAACACCGATACCCGCGCACGAGCCATGGCTGAAGAAAGGATGAAATGTCGTTGCCGAAGAAAGCTCTAACGACGATGATTTGGTTGTTGCAGCTCTGTCTGGACTAGAAACAAAACTATCCTCTATCTATTTGGAAACAGGTAGTTCCAATAAGATCATTTACTCTCGGACCTTAAAATTTGCCAAGGAGTATCTTGTGGCGATGGAGAAGCTCGTTGAAATATGACCCTGCAACCTCCTCTTCAGTCATCTCACGTCAATCGCTGATGGGTATTTCAGTTATCCATAGAATTTGAACATGTTTACGTTTGATCAAACAGTCCACAGTCTTCAGGAAATTTACTAAGATATAAGCAGCAGCTTTTGAGGCAGATCACTAAAAGTGTTTCTTTTATTCTTTCTAGATCTGGATTACTTTGCAGTTCTGAAGATCCCTCTAGGTTTCGAAACTGCAAAGTAATTCACATCCAGAGGGAATGGAAAGAAACACTTATTTTTTAGCTATAGTCAAACGTTGCTTCTTATATCTGAGTAAATTTCCTAAAAACTGCAGACTGTTTTATCTGGCGCAAACGTGTCCAGAGTCTATTGATAGCTGAAGAACTCATTAGTGATCACCGTGACATGACTGCAGAGAAATTTGCAGAGCCCTACTTCAACGAGCTAGTCAATTGATAGACGATCCTCCTATCAACACATTCAGTGCCGATGTCAAAGTTGAAAGTAAAGAGTACATGATCTTACGAGGGAACTGATTGTGTCCGGATGGGTAGAGGATGATTTCGTTGTTGCATCCTCATCATTCAGTCATGTTTCTTTTTATTTTCTCAATTTTCTTGGATGCTAACTTTCTTCCTAAACTTATTCTAGATTGACAAAACTACCTGGATATGTACAACAAAAAGTTTCTGAATATACACTTCAGCAAGAAAAGCCGTTGAAGATTTAATTAAATAACAACAATAACGCACTTCGTCTACTTTTATATAATAAGCATGTTATGTGGTCACAAAAATAACATTAATCAAATAACTCACAAATACTATTAGATTTTAGGCAGAAATATCTGGAGATGATTCTCTTATCTAGGCACAATTTCTTTGAAGAAACTTTCATAGATACAAGCATAAGAAGGGGCCTCCCCTTTATTTTTATTTTTTTTACTGCCATGGAAAGTTATGAAAATGACATTAACCAAGCAAACATTCAAATGTTCTTATGTGGAGATATCCCATAACTTCTCAAAAATGCACTTATAGTTAGCTAACTCTCCTAACTAACGGACACTAAATCAGGCAAATCATTGTGACAATTGATCAAGATTCATCCTAACTCATTATTGAAACTCATAATCTAGAGATGCATGATGAACTAAGCCAACCAAGAACTGGCCTTTCTCATCATAATAGTGTTAACAAACAAAGATAGCAAAAACCCATTTCCTCATCAACTAAATCTGTCACCAAGTAGATACAAACTGAAAATCCAAGCCAAGATGCAATTATTATCAACAAATCAGTATAATAGCATCAAGACAGAAATTGTACAGAATGTCTCGGTATAATACCTAATTAAACAAGGGTTGACTTTTCTCATTCTACAAACTCCTAGACTTTTCTCATCATTATACAAACTCTTAGGGGGTGTTTGGTTCACTCATCTTATGAAAAAAAATAGGATTTGGAGCTGACAAGGGCAAAACCGTAAATAAATGATTCTTTATCAATCCTAATCTTGAGTTTGGTTCTCAACAAATTTATAGGTTTCAAAATCTATAAAGTTGAAAAAGTACGGTGATTTTATAGAAACCCAAATCCTAATGATTTGGGAGGATTTGGGGTAAAAAACTGACACACCCGTACTATTCTCTCTCTTTTTTTCGGATTCCGTTTCTTCACAAACTATATATTATTATGAGACCGAATCCTAGTCTCATTCCTAACCAAACTAAAGATTAGGAATTGGAGAGTTTCTATAAAGTTGGATTCCATCTTTTTACGTTATGAAACAAACATAGCAAGAAAAAAAATGATTCCATAAATCTATAAACTTGTCTTAAAAAAATTTATGGAATAGGTAGGAATCCATAAACAAAATCAGATTCCTAATCCTATTCTTACCTATTGGTGAACCAAACACCCCCGTAACCTAGAGATACACTCAATATGAAACAACCAAACCAAGAGTTGACTTTTCTCATGACAACAATGTCAATAAACAAAAATAGCAAAAACCCATTTCCTCATCCACTGAATCAGTGACTAATAAATTGCAAATTGAAATCTCAAGCCAATGCGCGATTAATAGGATCCATAAGAGAAAACCTATGAATTCATTTCGAATAAGAACATAGATAAGGAGGGAGAACTCACGCTCTCAGGTGCCCTCTCTCTCTCTCTCTCTCTCGTCTTCAACTCTTCGCTTCCATCCTTCTCTCTGAATTCTTTTACTCACCGCATAAAAACTTTGTTTTTTCAGTCTTAGGCTTTTCAGAACCTTGACTGTATCTCAGTCTCCCTGAGATCTAGAACTAGAATAAGATAAATGGGCTAGCTAACTCTGATTTTTAAAGCCCATTTTAAATGAATACGTTGTTAAGATATATTTTTATGATTAATTATCCAGGCTTACGGCCCAAGAATTGACGAGGATTGAGGTTCACGAAACGAAACCTATGAGTCTTTTTTTTAAGTCATCGCCAGGGGACTCAGGGCCTGTTTGGCCCTCCCTGAAAAGACGTAATAATATTGTAGCTAAAATAGTTATATACAAGAATAAGGAAAAAGCTATTTGGCTCGCGGTTGGACAGCAAGCCCCCAACTCGTAGTCAGGGGAATACGGGTCGGGCCCCCACTCTGATGTCAAATCACCATAACATACTCGCGTGGTTTCTAATATAAATTATGGCTAGCTAGGAAGATAGTGATATGCTGATTTGGTTCTTCTCTACTACTTAAAGCATTGAAAATTATATATCCTTGATCACAATTGTCTATATTTTTCCTGAGATATAGTGATAAAACATAAATCAATTAGAGCTACAAATTGAACATGAGATATAGTGCTCGATCAACTCCATAAAAAATAAATCTTTAAGTCTGCAAACCGTTTGATAATATTATCCAATGTATGCACGTGCACATACATATACAAACCACGTACACTATAGACCATTTGACAAACTTTTCATATAACATATTTCATGAACTATTGTGTTGGTGTAAGAATTTGGCTTATTAGGTGATGTGGTGGATTGAAGAGAATGGATGCTCGTAGTTTATAGTGTAGAGATAGAAAAAGGTTATGTAAAAGGAAAAATGAAAAAATAGTTAATTAATTGGATCCATAATATATGCATTTAATTAAATTAGCTATCGAATCTTTAAGAGCTAAGAAACTAATTTATTATTATTATTATTATTATTATTTATAATTAATTTAATTTAAGACTCATTGAATGATCACAGTTGTTGATCTATATTTTTTCTGAGCGGTTGTGATTCATTTGAAATCTAACATTTGCTGTATTCTAGTGATTTGCGCCCATTCCACCTCTCACTCAAGAGGGGTTTTATTATTGAAGACTCAGATACATACCGCCAAGTTACCACCCATAACATTCGAAGATGGAAAGCCCTTCTTCTTCCTAACATAATCACCATCACACATGCATCCATCGCCTCCACAACTTTATTTGCTTATATATTTATATACGCGCATCGTATAATTTCTCTCTAACCCACTCTTGGAGTTTTGCAGACGACCGCATCGCCCCCATGAACTATGTCAAAGTCAACCCACACGCGATCACACCTAAAATCCAACGTCCTCGGTGCGTCGCACTTTATGAAAACAACATGAACATTTGGGTTCTGTATTTCTATTATTTTCCCAGCGATCCACGCTTCAACTCCGACAAGCTCTGGCCACTCCAATTTCCCTGCAAATTAATCACACGCCTTAGCAATAACACGAATTGGATGTCTTTAGAAAATTGAAATTGCTTTTAGATCTTCCAATTCTTATAATTATTTTGAAATAATCTCCCTGATTATTGCTTTTACTCTGGATTCAAGGGGCTAAATTTCAATGGTTTGAGAGACTAAGTCCAAAATAAATCAAGTACCGACAGACCTAATAGCAATTTCAACGATCCGAGGGATTAAATTAAAAATAAGAAATTTTAAAGTATTAATACCGAAAAAACCCCATAATTTTTTTTTTACAACGAACACGGTCATAGTTACACACTGCTCCACCCAAAGATTAATAAATAAATAAATAAATAATAAAACAGTAGTTAGAAGAATATATATGATGTATATATGTTGTATGTGCATATGTTAATTACCCGGGCAATAACCAGCATTTGGCGCAGGGGCGTAGGCAGGAGCAGCCATCTCGTTTCTTTAACAATAATATATAGTGAATGAAGTGCAAATTGAAAACCATGGGAGAGGGTGGCGAGCTCCAATTTATACGCATCAATTTTTGAGTTTTGAATTGAACTAGTGTGAGCTGCGGATGAAACAAACATTTACAATATTAGGTCATAATTACTTAATTAACAGGTAATTAATTACCTAAAGTAGATTAGTCAAAGTGAAAACTTATGAGCAAGGTTTTGTACATTTCAAGTTAGAGATCAAGTCCAAGAACATTTTTACTAAAAAAAAAGGTCGGATAACGTGAATGCAGAGCCGTGTAAGGCTAAAGAATTGATTGTTATGCACAAATTGAATGAAAATGAAGAAACTTGTGCATGGAAACCATCTGCAGGCTTGTCTTTTCTCGATTCCCTTTTTTAGGAAATTGGAAGAATGTGTAGAACATTGATGGTTGGTTGTGAGCCATTTCCATCTGTACACATAAACTTCGAGATCATTTCTAATGAAGGCCATCAACAAGGTGTTATTTGGAGTAAATGTAATATGCATTGCATATCAGCTTCTAGGTGTATTACTTTGTGTGACAAGAGATGAATAGCAAACTATTTACCTATGATCCATCCATGAATTTTTCATAAGTGACTTGTTTAGTGCTCGACACTTTCAGGCATTGGAAGACTCAATTCTCTGAAGAGAAACATTCAAATTACAGGAAATCACGGAGGAACAGATTTTTGGTTTTGTCCGGTCGACCGTGACGACATGTACGGTCGACCGAAAACGTGCATAGACTCAGGGAAAGCATATGGACTTTTGACGATCGACTGCGGCAACATGTGCGGTCGACCGCCAAACCCTGTAGTCGTTTTTAGTTTCTGTCGTTGATTTCGGTCGACCGCGACTTTCTCCACGGTCGACCGCGTGTCGAGCTGGGCCTTGGGCTTTTGTTTCCTGTTTGCTTTGTGATTGTGTTTTGGTATATATTGAAACATAATTTTCTAGGGTTTCTAAGGAGAGATTAGAGAGTATTCTGAGTACTTTGAGAGGGAGAATTTGTGAGCAAGTTGAGAGATCTTTTGGTTGGGTTAGTGTTTGTGGAAAATTTGATGTAAAAGAAATGAAAGAAAAAAATTTGATTTGTATTCTCTCAATCTCAATTACAATTTAGATTCTGATTACAAAAGAGAGGAGAATAAATTTTATTCTCCCCTTTGTTTAATTCTAGGTTCTTCACGGTGGCGATGAAGTGCCTCCCCCGAATGCTCGCGTCGAGTTTGCTCTCCGTTGACGATCCGCACGTCTTGATTCACTGGAACGATATCTCCTCCTCACGATTTGACGCTGTGGAGAACTTGCAAAGCAAGTTTGAAACTCTGGACGAGTTGATCCTCACGATTTGACGCTGTGGAGAACTTGCAAAGCAAGTTTGAAACTCTGGACGAGTTGATAACTCAGGTCGAGTTTAGAAACTCAGAACGAGTTTAAACTTTGTAACATAGTTGATTTGAACCGAAAATCGGTTAATAAGCCAAGGATGAAAGCTCCAAGGAATGCTCCAGAGATTGAGCGAAGACCCCCCTTTTCTGATCTCCAGATCCGAGAAATCTCCAAGATCCGAAGATGATCTACTCAAGAGGTTTCCGATCTCTCCTTTTGCGATCTGTTTTTGATGCAAAAAGTCGATCCCTTAACTCAATTGAGTTTCTGGTATTTATAGGGGATTAAGGGTGGTAACTACCCCCTTAATCTGCTCCTAAGTGGGGCGGAAATCCCTCAAATCATGGGGGGGAAATGGTTCCTAGAACTGTTCGGTTCGTGTTTGAACGAGTCAAACACCGAAAATAGCGTTCTGGGCCCGAACTCTGCGTTTTAGACTAAAAATGCAGAGTTTGGCCTATGTTGGGTGGCTGAACGCACAGGCCGCGATGCGTTGTAAATCTGAAACGCAGAGTTGGGACACAGAGATGAACTCTACGTTTTAGACTTGAGACGCAGAGTTGGAACACAGAGATGAACTCTGTGTTTTAGACCCGAGACGCAGAGTTGGAACACAGAGATGAACTCTGCATTTTGGACCTGAGACGCGGAGTTGGGTTCTGCATGGACTCTGCGCTTTGACTCCACGAACTCTGCGTTTTGACTCTGGAATGTAGCCACGGCCTCTGCGTTTCGAGTTTGCAAGAGTTTGGAACGCAGCCACGACCTCTGCGTTTTGAATCTGGAACGCAGCCACGACCTCTGCGTTTTGAATCTCAAATGCGGTCACGACCTCTGCGTTTTGAGTTTAGAACGCGGGCATGACCTCTGTGTTTTGAATCTTGGATGCAGAGGTGAGCCTTAGGTGGGCTCGGCGAACTTCAGGCTAAGTCCAATATTCAGACGAAGTCCAATCTTGCAGATGGACTTCAGAACATAACTTGCTACGAAGAACAGGTCATAACTTTCAAACCGTAAGTCGGAATTGGACGAATTATATATGAAAATCGGCTATCTCGACGAGACGGAGCTGACCAAACTAACCCCATAGGGTTCGGTTTACTCCGTTAGTTTTGCTAAATTCCTTACGATTTGAGAGATATCTGCGTTTTAATATGAAGAGACATCGATTTGTAGTCTCTTTTGCTAGAGCGTTGCAAAGATCGTCACCTTGTAACCTTCGTCTTGGCTCCTTGAAAATATGAGAGTCAGCAGATTGTAACTCCCGATGTTGATTGTGAAGACTGTTGTATTAGAGATTTTCATTAGTTGTTGTGAAGGTCGTCAGATTGTAACCTTCTACGTGAAAGTCTTCAAATTGTAACCTCCTGGGAGTCGTCAGATTGTAACTTCCATCATCGGTGTTTGATGGGGGATCAGCTGTCTGTTGTGAATTTTATACAGCCTACAGTTAGTTTGAATGTTTGAGAGATTTGTAACCCTTTGTACTCTCCTTGATCTAGTGGAATCTCCCCATCCCCTCCCCATGGACGTAGACAAATTTCTGAACCACGTATATCTCTGTGTTTGTGATTGATTTGTCATATTTTTTATTAGATTACACTCTAGTTTGGTTTGGTTATCTTCTCTCGTGCCTCACAAACTCGTTCGGTGTGTGAGCACGCTTCCGCAAAGGCGCGTA